CTGTGTGTTAATGTTCCAACATATTTATTTACTTTTTAGAGATATTTTTGTAGTTTTAGAGCGTGCGATGCCGCGGGTTCTGCTAGTTTAATGAATAAAATCTATGCAACAATGTTTAAGTTGATCACGCGGTTAACAGTACGTTAGAGAGTTATGTAAACACAATAAAATAAGTATATTTACGGCTTTTACATTATATTTTTTATGTTATTTGTAACTAGCGACTTACTCAAGCTTCGTTCTGTGCGTCCCTGGGTGTGTTTTAAATATAAATTATAATTATTGCGAGTGTACCTTACGAGATAGACTCGTGCTTGATATTGCGGACTTTTCTGTAGGCCTTTTTAAGTTAAACCTAACAACCTAACATGCTTAGCCAGCGTTAGCCATAAAATTTTCTGAGGATGACTCGAACCAGTTATTGTGTTTTCCCGTGGAAACGAAAAATTTTCTTGTATTAAAAGGTATACTAAATATTGACTCGAGTACAAAAAAAATAGTTAAAATCGGGTCTGTGCTCTTTCCGCGAAACGCACACAGACATACAGAGAAACAGACAAAAATTCAATAACTATTTTTGGTGTCTATATTCTATGTAAAATATTATGTCACAGTCATTGTTTTTAAAAATAATAATTCATGTACAGATTTCGCTAAGTTACTATTTAATTATATGTATGTACAAATTAAGAATAGGAAAAAAACTTTACAATAAAATGGACGTTTTTATTAAAAAAAGTAAGTGTTTTAATATTAAAGATTTAATATTGTGTTAATTCAGCAAATAAAAAGCATACATTTTTTGTAAAAATTAAAATAGGTTAAATTAAAATGAGCTTAATGCGAATTTTTTTATTTTAAAAATTTGCATATTATATTTGCATCGTTAATTTAAGGTAAATAAAAACGCGGCCGGCCAGCTGCACTCACAGATCCGTATTGTATGATTTATTTATTTTATCTCTTAATAAATCGTCCAATTCTGAATTACTTTGTATTATGATTCCAAAAAAAAGTGTACTACTCGTAAAACTAACTTTTTGGACGTTTTCGTGGATTTATTTTGTTTCGTTTACCAACGTCTCAAGTTTTGAGTTGGTTTCCAGTGACTATGATTGTTGTAAAACATTCGTAACATTGGGAAGTAAAATTTAAAATAAATTCGCGAAAAACACAAAAAAAAAATGATTTTATTTAAAATGTCAAATATTGGCGTAAATCTAAGAAAGTATTACGAGTTTATTAGTACAATAAGACTAGTAGAATATATTAGTACGTTTTAGATTTTTCGAGCTTAACTCTAACTCTTTTTCTAAAATAATGTCAGCCAATGATACTCCCTATAACATCAGCTATCTTCCAATGAAAGTTCCGTCAAAATCAGTCCAGGCATTTCAGATATTATCCGGAACAGACACACAGACAGAGAAAAAATTTAATAATTGTGTATTTCTTATAAGTACCGTATATAATTTCATATACATTTTGACATTATAAACAGACACTTCAATTTTATTTATCTGTATAGATGTATAGATTAATAATTGAAACTTCCCAAGTCTTTATTTGTATTTTAAGCGTGTAAGTGTTGACTTGTTCTTTTGTTATACAGATCGCAGACGTATAAGATCGATTACATTTTCTATCATTAACTCCGATAAAATGTTCTTGTGAGATATTACAGTCCAAAAAGTTTCTTAGGAACGCGTGGAGAGTATTTTGTATAATTTATTATAATAACTAGTGTTCGTTGTGATGGAAATTCGATCATATAAATATCCTACATAAAAACTGCTTTCAATTTTTGTTTTATTGATTACATCTAAATCATCGGTCTTGAATTGCAATAAAAAAAAAACGGTTTAGAAACAGCTGAGAAAAAGGTCCTGAATTGCTTCGGTTGGTTTGCTTCGAATTATCTACATAAAAAGTAATTATTTCACCCTTACGTGTGTTTTTTTTTTCTTCAAATACAATGTATCTGACCACCCTTGAAAATGACCTAATAAATTAAACATGAAAACCGATTAAATATAGGTGAATCAATATTTAATGCATTTTCATGATATCGTGTAATATACACACAAAAAACATCCACCTGAATTTAGAATCTCTATTTTAGAGACCATCAAAAAACAAATAGTTACCTAATAACAATTATTGCACAAATTTGTAACATTCGGGCCTTTTAACGTCCCACTGGTGGGAATGTGCTTCCCTCAATGCAAGGGGGCCACGCTGACGAAGTGCTGATTGGCGAGCTTCACATAGCTTTTGAAACCTAGTTAGGTTCTCTTAGACATGAAAGTTTCCTCGCGATGTTCTCGTTCATCGTTAGGCAAGTCGTAATAATGAAAATATCAAAGGCGTGAGACCCGGGGTTGAACCCGCTTCACTTGGTATTCCAAGCGAGCCGAGTAGAACAGTGGTAACAAACCACTGGTCTACTATTGCCTGCCTTGTTTATGTATAAAAATAATATTTAAAGTTGAATGTTCACTAATCTTTAAATTACTTAAAAAAATAAACGAGTAAAAATATACCCGTAACGACCTGTTTTAATTTAATGTACGAGTATGGTTGTGGAAAATAATTTCTTGGAGTAAAAATTTAAACTTTTAGAAATGCATTAATTTACATAAATATAATTTAAAAAGTGAATAAAATTTTAAAGCTTATATAGAACTAGCTACTCACCCTCGTTTCGCTCGAGTTCATCTCTAACCCAAACAAAAATAAAGAGAAATTTATCCCACGGCAAACGTAATTTTTGTCTAGATAAAAGTAACTTATGTACAATTTCATATATTTATTTATATACTAAATTTCATCCAGATTCGTTTAGCCGTTCTAGCGTAGGTAATTGAGTAACAAACATCTATCCAAACTTTCGCATATACCTATGTATGATATTAATATGATATTGCATGCGTTCGTAGCGGTAAAATTATTAGTAAAAGGTTGTTGTGATCAGGATATATTTATTTACTTATGTAAAATTTACTTTATACATATGTATTAACTTTCTAGCAGCTCTCATTTTTGTAAATAACCGTATTATAACTATAATATATATAATAAATAACCGTATACCGTAAAGCCGTATTTACTAATTTCTAATTTATATCATTCCTGTTTTTATAATGACTTGGAATTGTGGGAAGTGGTGAAAAATATTCTGTCTGTAATGTAAGACACCAAATAAAATATAAGTGTGTTTAAATATAAGAAAGGGTCAATAGGACTGTATTTTTTTATTTATTTTACATCTGCCGTGTCTATTAGATTTTTCTTAATTGAAGAACGAAAAGGGAACAAAAAAGTACCAGTACTGCTAGGGTGGCTATTTTACGGTGGCTAAACAGAATAACTCTATAGACAAAGAGAAAAAAATATATTCAGCTTAGATACATCTTGTATGAATTTTTAAAATGCTCGTAGCAGTTTTTATTGTTAATGTTTATAAAAGTACTGAAATAATTTCGAATCGCATTCGCCTTTGAATAGCATTTATTTTCTGAAAAAAGAAGCTTTAAAATACACTATTATTTACAGGTGTAATTTTAAGCGCTCATATATTCAGACGACTTATATATACCTATGTTAAAACTTAAAGTTTGTATGTATGTCCTTTACGCTGAAACACCTCGACGGATTTGGATGAAATTTAGAAAAATATTGTTAGGCACCCAGGCGAAGCGAAGGTAAATCGCTAATGTTAATAAGTATAAAATTAAATGCAGCTATATTATATTCTGTTGTTGATAAGTATACTATGGTGATACAAATCCTCATCTTCTAGCAGCTTATTAGATCTATTCTTGTCTCTTGGGACTAAGCTCGTTATCGGACAATTTACTGCCACTACTCAGTGAATTACGATTTTCTTTAAAGACAATTTTCCTAGTAAGTGACGGATCGTTAACAACATCAAGCAGCTGTCCATTAAGTAACCAGTATTTCTAGTTATACTCGTAATATGCAGTCAATGGAGAATCCCTTTTTATCAATGGATTTTTTTATGTTATGTTGTTAAGATAACACATTTTTTTTATTTACACAAAAAATATATTTTTATTTGATCAAATTACGCAATACTGTATGTGTCATGATTTTATTTGCTTGATAAAATACCGTTGGTCACCCCTGACCCATAAATTACCTTTTCAATCGGTTCTGATGCTGCATAACAGTAAAATAAACCTACACAATGTTTGTGTTGGCTTTTTTATTTAATATATTATATCTATACATTTATAATAAAATTCTGAGTCGAATCTGTACATCAAATATTTTTTGGAAAATCTTATTGAAATAGTCATTAATATCGATACAGAGGCCGAATCTATAGTTTTTAGAATTCGTGTCTGTCCGTCTGTGATCGCATCACGAGACACTGACTAACAAACTACTACCAATAGACAGATATTGATGAAATTTGGTATGATGATAGCTGGTTATCCGGTTCAACATATAGGATACTTTTTACTGCGGGAAAATATCTTATCACTGAGAAATCTATACTAAACGTTAAAACGTAAGGACTAGGTGTACGAACCCGAGGTGAGTCGCTAGTATCATATAATATTTTTTCTTATTTATTATATTTATATTATTTCACGAAAACATATAATGTGCACAACTGCAAATATTCATGGATTGTACAAAATTTGTATGGTAATTGTGAACAATTGGCCAATGTCGTCCATTGAATAAATTTTTTACGCTTCAATAGTTTTATTTATTATAGAAATATTTTACAAAAACTCAATGACAATTAACATCTTAAAAATATCTTTGAATAGACATTTTTAAATGCTTAGTATATTTTTTTGTTTAAATAAAAAAAATTGTTAGGCTACAAACTAAATGTAGATTTGTAAATTATAAATAAAAAAAGTAAATGGATAAAACATTTTTTTTAAATTACCAATAGTAATGTCTCATATACTTTAAGCTTAAATAATAAAATAATTAGGTACATAGAGATCTAAACTTACAGTTTTATCGAGAAGATAACTTCCCGGGAAGATAAGTGGGATGTAAGTTATCATGTAAATCATCGATGTCCAGTACACCGTGATGCTATTCACCCCGTAGTATTTTACCACCGCGTCTTGAATTATGCTGTATTGCAACCATTGCATCGAATTCGCGGCTGAGTACAGAACAAATATAAACAAAACCAGCCATCTTATCGGAAAAACTTTGTATTCTACCGGTGATTTTTTAGGGGAATCTGGCAACCCTCCCTTCTCAGCCACACCATCCATCACGCTGCCACATACTTCCATATTTTTCATATCCGTCATTTTTAAATATAATTATTGCACATTCATAAATCTATGAATTATTTTGTAAATATTTTTTTATGGCTGTATATATTATTGTCTTCGTTTTTATAAGTATTATTGTCAAATATCCCGCGTGTTTGGGTTTTAGAGACAGCTGTGCGAGACGCGCGACCGCCCGCACTCGACTGTTTTCAATTTTCCTCAATCATGCCCGACGCTTCCTTTGCCCCCTAGTACTATGATAAGCGACTGAACTAGGCAAGTTACTCTTATGTTGCTTTTTCGCGCTATACAGGTAACAACGCCATTAATTAAATAATATAATTTTTAAATGAACACTAATGCCTGTCGAGTAAAAAAATTTGAATTTATCTATGTTTATTTACGTATAAGTAAATGTTGTAAAAGTTTTGATAAGATTTCATTAAACCTTAATTTTTACGCTAGTGTACAGCGTTTTAGAGATCCCAAAATTCTTTACGTTATCTAGTTCCTTATTAGTATGGCTAATGCTTACACGAGTAGTAAGACTGTATTCACAGCTGCTAGTGTAATATGTGGATTGAATTTGTAGCATTTACAATTTTAGTAAAGATTTGCGAATATATGTATAATGCTATATGCTTGGTACAAATAAATAATAATATAACAATTAATAATCTTTAACAAAATATAAAATCAGAACAAACCAGTGAAGGAATTTAAGTTTTTTTTTAAATAAAACCTTTTTTTAAGCGTGGCTGAGGGGTAAGTCAATATATTGAAAAAATTGTGTCGCGGAAGTGAGAATGAAAATTATTTATTTATTTATGTACCAGAAAAAACATACAAGTGAAAACAGATACCATGTGTACAAAGGATGACTTATCTCTTTAAGAGATCTCTACGAGAAACCCTCAAGCGTGAGAAAATATAAAAATAATAATGTGGTGCGGTGTACGTACTACAAATATCAATTATAATATAAATATACACATATACAAACATACATGTTTACATAGATACTTACATATATACATATATATTACAAACATACATATTTATTATTAATAATTTAATATATATATATATATATATATATATATTTATTTATCATTATTATTATTTATAAATATCTATATTTATTATTAATAACAATAAACATTTATTACTAATATATAATTTTATAAAAAATATTTTGATTTCTATTAATTTTTACTTCAGCCGCGCGTAAAGGTTACACGCACTTATTTTTATTTGTTTTTGCCGGACTGAATTTTTAGGCGCTATAGTAGAGTCCTAATAGAGCGACAACACTGGTTACTGTCACTGACAGGGCCGGATTTAACCTTAGCGCCGCCCCTGGGCGTAGTAAAAAATGCCGCCCATTTATCGAAATTTTGCATAACATAGGTAGTTTCGATACTTTCAATTTTTTTTATTGTTAATTTTTTTTTAAGTGCAAAAAAGTTATTTATAAAGGCACTAGCCCCGAGTACCCCTAGTGTAAATCCAGCACTGGTCACTGACATTCACTGAAAAAAATTTCATGACTTCAAACTCAACTTAAGCTGTTTTCGATTAGATATTATTAGAAACTTGTCCACCTGGGAATATGTTACCGTTGATTATGAATATGGTTTTACTGAGAAAAATCCACATGAAAATAAGCAGAGGCTCTTTCAAATTTGACAATGGGAAAAAATATTTTGTAAAACTCGGGTTAATTGTCTGATACAAGATAACATAATTACAACCGCTATTAAAATGACTTATCCTAATGACTGTATTATTGTTGGTAGTAAATTATTCTGAGATTTGACATATTTAATAGGTCCCTATATAAGTACGTTTATAACTTAAATAATTATGATTTAATTGACATTTAAATTATAAATAAATGATATAATTATAAGAGGATAGCCAAGTAATATAGGAAATAAAGTTTAAGTAACCTAAAGTAACTCTAAGTTAAAAATTTCGCTGGATAGTTTTGACCACAACCTTTTTTCAGGACTGGATCTGCGCTTGAATGACACTAAGGCCTTTACACATATTATAATATCATATAGATTAAAAGAAAACTACAATTAAAAACTCCAAAAACGTTCTTAATTTTTATGTAATTTGATTTTAAGAAGATTTAACTCTCCTGCCTTTATCCTGAATCCATTATCCGTCAGTAAAATCCGAAACCACAAGGATAGATAAGATAACAATGCAGTAAATGTTGTAAAATATCTCCACGAATATTAAGCTTTTATTGAACTAAATATTTTGAAATTGAAATTAAGCGTAAGTTAGGTCTGTAAAGTGGTTAGTATGGCAGGTGAATGCGAAGCGCGCGTCGCTGAAACACTCGGTTGTTTAACAATTTCAAAACAATGTAGCGACTGAACACGTAAGTAATCGGTTAACAATGTTTTTAATACATATTTTGAACCAAAGTATTTTTAATTTTAAAATTTTCCTGCCATTTTAATATTTTATTAAGATACATTGACAGATATAAATACTAGAAATAAAGATAAACTGATAACGTCTAGCTTTCGACTTCAAAAAGTGTATAAATCGTTTATGGGGCAAGGTGTAGTGTATAATAGAATTCCACAGTCGATGTTGAGCTCCTCATTTAAAGAATTTAAGTCTAAAATTAAAAATATATTATGAATAAAGCTTATTACACCGTCACGGAATACTTTGTAAGTAGATGTTAATGTGTGGGACTAATGTCTAGTTGGATCTCACGTAGGATAATTAGATAATTATTGTATTGCAATATTGTATACAAATATTAATTTAAAAGAGCAGCTGTTTAGTTTCTGGCTGGCTCTTCTCAGCAGAAGTGAATACCGAGGCGGCGGTGGTAGATGCTTCACGGACTCACATACTGACAATTGATTTAACTTTTAAAAATGTAAAAAGTGACGATTCAAAAATGCTTGTAAGAGTCTATTGAAATAAAGCATATTCTGATTTCATTTTAATTATTGTCAATTTTGTCAAAGGGTTTGCGACTTGTAATATACATGTAGTTACAATAAACCTTCTAAATTCTAACAAAAATCAGGAAAATTTGCGAGAACAGTTCGAGACGACTTCTAATTTAACTTATAATACACTAGCATTGTCCGCGGCTCCGCCCGCGTTCAGATGACCAAAAACCAAATTCTTAGGTTTTACATATTAGTTTTATGCTCTTATATTACAGTTTTTGTATTTTTTCTCAGAAATGAGACATTTTCCCACGGTAAAAAGTACCCTATATGTTGACCCGGATAACCAGCTATCGTAAAAGGTAAAAAGTAACCAGCTATTACCACACCAAATTTCATCAAAATCCCTCTAGTGGTTTTTCCGTGATGCGGTATCAGACAGACAGACAGGCAAAAATTCTAAAAACTGTAGATTTAGCCTCTGTATCGATAATAATGCCTATTTCAATTAAATTTTCCAAAAAATATTTAATGTACAGATTCGGCATACTTAGAATTTTATTATATGTATAGATGTCTAATATTCGCGTAAATCTAAGAAAGTATTATTGTAAACAAATATTAATATATACCTACAATAAACCTTCTTAATTATTACAAAAATCAGAAAAAGTTGCGAGAACACTGAAGATAATAGCGAACATTTCGAGACGACTTCTAATTTAACTTATAATACATTTAATTTTTAATTTTCAAATAAGTACGTGTCAAACTTCTGGCCATTTAGCTACAATGTTTCAACAGTGTTCGCGCAAGTTATTAACTAGGTAAACTAAGGCGGTAGGTACTCTATGTATATTAACATTTATTGAAACTAAATGATTGAATGCATACATTACTTACACAAGTTTTGCAATGCAAGTTTATCTTATTCTGGCGACACCTTTGACTCAGTTTGTAATTACTTTCTAGCTGTACCAACGGTCGCGGGTTCGAGTCCCACTGGGGGATTCATTTGTCTGATGAGTACGAAAGTTATATATGTGTAGTGTATCAACTATCTGGTATCTATAACACACGCCTCGTAGCTTACCATGGAACTAGATGGCGCTGTGTGTTAATGTCCCAACATATTTATTATTTATTTCTTATTATTATATTTGTATTTGAAAGTTCTTTAAGAACTGAGACATGTTAACATTATAGAATCGCTACCGTTTACAGACACTTAGAAAATGTATGAAAATGATGTACTATCTGAGCGTTAATTTACGACATTTTTGGTATAGATACGATAAAATTCTACAAACGCTATCGCTCATAGAAAACTTAGATTATAAAAAGTGAAAGATACATAATATCTAGTTATAGGTGCTATGTCACGAGGTCAGATTGTCATTCTCACGTTTTTTTAGTTTTCTATTAGCAATATAGCTTGTAGAAATCAACCTGTCTTAGCAGAAAATAAACTCGACAGTTTAATCTGCGAACATCTTTCATACAATGTAGTAAATAGATACTTGATATACATATTTTCGTGGAAACAGCGGTGGAGTTACATACCATATGATTATAGTAGTGTATAAATGTTACAAAAAATGGTACCTATTTCAATATATATTTAGATTTCAATTAAATATGGGATATCAATTGTTTTTTACTATGTTTACATATTATATATCTATCTATAACGTATATATTTAAATTAAAATGTTCGAGTCTTTGTCCTTTACTATACCTTAAATATTAATCCGATTGTGATGAAACTCTGGTGGGTTATCCTGTGTAGGTATGTATAGGGCCCGCAAAGGTCTCTGTTGCAAAAAAAAAGTATTTCTTTCGACGTTTGTTTTTCGTGTGTTCTTAAACCATTCAAGCTTAGAGGCGCCCCCATCGAAGCGAGCTAAGTCGTTAGTATGTTATAATTATAAAGGATCCAACAATAAATATCTCATATACCTATCTAATACAAATCTAATTTTATTTATTTGTTAACCTTGAATTTAAACAATACCTCATCGAAACCTTGAACGATATCGATCCTGCGACCAGCGTTTTAGTGGGTCAGTTAGGCCAATTTACACTACGATTTACGAGTGATTC